TTAGGGTGAGGGTGAGGAGTGAGGGTGGGGTGAGGGATGGGGGGGGTGAATATATCCCAAACGTGGGATGGGGAGGGGGGGTATAAATCCCCAGTCGCAAACGATCATCTGTTTTTTCAAGGAGTGTTTCCAATTTATTTATTTATTTATATATTTATTTTTATTAATTTTTTAATGATCCCTCTTTATTCCTCATTTCAAACAGCATTTTTGAAGCTCTTTTTCCCACCATACATTTCAAGAAAAAAGACGTCATATTCCATCTCTTTCTAATAGAACGCAGAAGAACGATGATTGTGGTAATCGCCCCCCCCCCAAAAAAAAAAAGAAAGAAAGAAAAAAAACAACGTGCCTCTTGCGCTTAAATGTGTGGTGAGTACCTATTGTCTGATTAGGTATGGGCTTCGATACCAATCTTACCACGCTGGGCGAATGGTGTTAATACTTATTATCATTTTTTGTTATCGTTAATATTGTTTATTATTGTTATTATCATTATCATTGGTATTATCATTGTTATTATTATTATCATTATTATTATCATCATTATAGATATTATCATCATTATCATTATCATTATCATTGTTATCATTAGTTATTACTATTATTGTTATTATTAGTATTGTTATCAATATCACTCTCTTTGTTATCATTATTATTGGTATTATTTTTTTATTTTTTTATTGCTATTATTATTATTTGCATTATCATTATTATTATTATTATCATCACTTATTATTATTATCTTCTTTATCAATATCATTCTCATTGTTATCATTATTATTATCATTGTTGTTATTGTTATCATTGTTATCACTTTATTATTATTGTTATTGTTATTGTTATCAATGTTATTGTTATCATTTGTTATTATATTTTTTTATTGATATCAACAATATCATTACTCCTACTACTATCATTATTACTATTGATATCATTATTATTGTTACTGTCATTATCATCAGCAGCATTATATTATCATCATCATTATTACTATTGTTATTATCATCATTATAATTATGCATCATAGCTATAATCATTATCATTATTATTGTTATTTCTATTATCATAATTATTGTTATTGCTGTGCTATTTATTATTTGTCATCATAAATATCATGGTAAGAGGGGGGGGGTCCTTACGCGTACACGGATCCGATATGATAACATAATTCACACACACACACACACATACAAACACACACACACACTAATACCCCCCCCCCCGCCCATACACACACACACTAATACCCCTCATACAAACACACTAATACCCCCCCCCCCCCACACACACACATGCAAACGACGAAGCAAGATCAGAAGAGGAGGCGAGACGAGGCGAGCGCGCAGGGCTGGTCCTCCCTCTGGCACCCTCCTCGACGTGGGTGGCAGTCGCGGTGCCTGCCAGCTTGCCAGCCTCTGTGTGCCAGTTAGTTACCTCCGCCCCGTCGTCGCAGCTCTCTGCCGCCGCCCGCGCTCGCCTCTCTTGACTGGGGAAAACTTCGCTGGACTCCCCTTGGCTTCTGTGTCTCTCTCTCTCCCCTCTTTTCCCCCTCTCTCCCTTCGCGCGTCGGAACGCCTCTGGAGGGAACGTATGAGGATGAACGAGAAGAGAGAGTGAGGAAGTAGGGTTTGGGGGTTTTGCTTGTCGAGGGCTGTTCATCGCGGACTTACATGCACGTTTTACAAGGACGTGGATTTCCTTTGGCTGTTGATGACGGACGATGAGGACGGACAGTTCGTGTGGAATTAGAGGAGGAATATTCGGTAGGAAATCGTGCATCTAATCATTGCGAAATCGTGCACTTAATGCCTGCAAATCATGCATTCGATCATTGCGAGTCGTGCATTTAATCATTGGAAATCGTTCATTTTCCACTGAAAACACTGGACAATTGCACTACATACATACCCTAATCATACCCCCTTCCGTTTCTCTGCAAATAACCCATTTACATCACTAAAGTACTTAATTTACTTTTTTTTATAAGAAGGGTCAGTACTTACACAATAAATCGGTGAACAGCACCATCACCTGTGGCGCAGTTCCCCGTAATCATCACAGGTAGTGGAGGTGGAGGTCGTTTAATCTCTAAGAAGACGACCACCCAGATAATGATGATTTAATTGCTACCAGGTGTGAGAAAACGAATCCCAGGTGATAAAAGGTTTTGATAAAGACGGACTTATTGGAAGATAAAGAAACTCAGCTGTACGGGGAATCATACGCCCTATTGATATATTAAGGTGCTGACTTGTGAATCTTCTAATTAAAATCAAAATAAAGATAAAAAAGTGAATGTGACGATTACTGAGAACGTTTAAAAATCTTCGTTTAACTTTTTTTTCTATTTGATTATTTCTGCTTCGAAGGAAAGAAAATACTACTACTGGACTGTATTACTACTGTACTACTAGCTGGACTGTATTATTTTTCGAAATTTGAACAGTGAAGTATGTTGAAGCAGAACACACACAGGAAAACAGCAAGGAAAACGTCTCGGAAATGAGGCGATGTATCTGACACAGAAAAGGGGAGAAAAAGACACGATCATGCACGTAACTCGCATAAAACGAGAACAATAAGGGTTTAAAAGAGCGGATACTCTTTTTTTTAACACGAGAGAGGAAGAGAAAGAAAAAAAACAGAAATGGCGACGGAAGAATACAGATGGGACAGATTCCTCTCCCTCCCCGCCGAGGAGAGGAACAGGAGCGAGGAGGTGCTGTTCCTCTGCGATCCCGACGACAACATAAGCGTGCCCGTGCATAAGCTCATGTTCGCCTGCGACCTCTGCCTGGAGAAGGAGGAGGTCCTGGGGCTGTGGCGGCAAGGCGTGTGCGACCTGCCCCCGAGTCCCGTGTTCGACACCTCCATCTACGTGCTGTACATCTCCATCCTGGTGTTCGCGGTGTTGGGGAACTCCATGGTGGTGTACGTGGTGTGTTCCTCGGCCAAGATGCGCACCGTCACCAACTACTTCATCGCGAACCTGGCTGTGGGCGACCTGTTCATGGCCATCTTCTGCGTTCCCTTCTCCTTCATGAGCACCCTCATCCTCAAGTACTGGCCCTTCGGCGGAGAGCTCTGCGTGGCCGTCAACTACCTCCAGGCCGTGTCGGTGTTCGTCTCGGCCTACACCCTCGTGGCCATCAGCCTCGACCGCTACTTCGCCATCATCTACCCGCTGCGACCTCGGATGACCCGCTTCCAGGCCAAGGTCATCATCGCCGGCGTCTGGGTGCTCGCCCTGGCCACCACGCTCCCGGTCGCCATCTACTCCAAGCTGTTCGAGCCGCCCCTCAACTGGTACCGGTACTTCGGCCACCAGGTGTGCACGGAGGACTGGGGCGACAGCGACTCCAACAAGGACTCGCGTACCGCCTACAGCGTGGCGCTCATGCTCCTCCAGTACTCCCTCCCGCTGGCGGTCCTCATCTTCACGTACTCCAGGATCGCCGTCGTGGTCTGGGGCAAGAAGAACCTGGGGGAGACGCCCGCCAGGATGGACAGGATCGCCAGGAGTAAAAGGAAGGTAGGACGGCCGCCGCGCCTTCGTCTGTTCGCGAAAGACCTTCTCTTGCAGGAACGGAAAGGCGACCGAGAGAGGAAAAGTTTTTTTCTTAAAGACGTAATATATATATATATATATATATATATATATATATATATATATATATATATATACACATATATATATGTATGTATGTATGTATATATATAATGAATAAAAATATAAAACGGAGAAAAGAAAACATTTTAAAAAAAGAAAACGAAAAAACAAAACAAAAACATTAGGTCCTATTCTCACATAATGGCGATCATACAACATACTAGTTTACAGACAAGAAAACATTCAACACATTTTTCTCATCACTTTTTAAAAAAATATTTTGCTCATGATACCATGTCATCACAGAAATATGACGGACAACAATTACAAGAAAGTATAAGGATAATTTTCATTGTACAGACGATAGTGAAACATAATATTTTTTTATTTGAACAAGATGAGATAGATAATGATAATGGCAATGAAATAGAAGTAATTATAACATCACCAATAAATACCACGATAAAGGGAATGAAAATGAATATGGAATTATACAACAAAAATAACTATTACTACTTCTACATCCACTATTATTGCTACTGCTAGTATGCTACTAATACGACTACTATCATTACTACTACTACAACTGCTTCTAGAACTGCTACTACTGCTATTATTGATCATATCAACAGCAACAAAATTATGAAAATGATGTGAATGACAACAGTGATGACAATGTTTATTGTAACAATAATCATAGTGATAAAATACGCATAATAATATATACAATAAAAGTAGTCATAACAATAGCAATAATAACAATAACAACATTAATACCAAGAGCAATAACCAAAATAATGACTAGAAATATAATGATAATAAGGATAACAATAAGGATATCATCATTCAAAACATCATAGTGATGAAAATGGGCAATTATGCTAATCGTTATAATGACATGGGGAGCAATGCTAATGACCATGAAATATAATAACATTGATATACATTAATAATAAGGATGATAAAAAAACAGTAATCATAAAAAACAGTAATTGTGATAGAAATCATAACAATGGCGATAACAACAATAATAATACAACAATAGTATTAAAAAGAATAACGTATTGGAGTTATTATAACACCACTGTCAATACAACTGCTTTTGCTTATGATTATGATTATGATAATAATGATAATAGTAATGATAATAACAATGACACTGATAATAATTATAATAGTAGTAATATTGATAATAACTATATTGATAACAATAATGATAATGATAATAAAAGTAATAATAATCATCATAATAATTGTATCAATAATAACCACCAACAACCACAAGAGCAACAATAACAATGATAATTATAGGGTTATCAATTAAAGTTTAATGATACTACTACACTACTATTAGTAGTAGAAGTTCTACTACTATTACTACTACTACTGCCAATACTATTACTACCATTTCAAATACTACTATTAGTACTACTGCTACTACTACTACTTCTCCTATTACTTCTAGTACTCTTACTACAACTATTACTACTTCAACTGCTACTACTATCAATACTACAATTACTGCTATCACTACAACTATTAGTGCTACTACTATTATTTCTGTTATTACTACTACTACTATTACTACTGCTACTACTACTACTGTCAATAACAATAATAACATTATTATATTGATATTGAAAATGGATTTAGTTATGATGATGCTTATCATATTACATTGGGAATATAATGCTTATTATAAACATGATAGAATTGATAAGGACAACAATAACGACGACATTGATGATTACATATAATTAAGATAATAGCTATTCTAATAATGATAAACGCTTATTAGTAGAAATAATGAGACTGATAATAATAACGATGATAAGAATATTAATAACGATACCATATACATTACTTTCTCATTAAAAACAAAGTATTTCCGAGTTTAATAAACACCATGAAATGTGAAAATGAAGGTAAAAGAAACATTGTTTGTTAATATAAACGGATGATGATAAATAAATGGAAATGCGTTTAGAATGGCCATTTAAGATAACGATAAAGATAGCTGCACCACAGTTATGAGTGTGGAGGAAAACAGCACCTCATAAATTGTTGATATGAGTAAAGATGAAAAGAAGTAAAAGGAGAAGGAGGAGATGGAAGAGGAGTAAGAGAAAGAGAAGATGGAGGAGGAGGAGGAGGAGAAAGAGAAGGAAGAGGAAGAAAATGATGATTAGGAGGAGGAGGAGGAGGAGAAGAAGAAGAAGAAGAAGAAGAAGAAGAAGAAGAAGAAGAAGAAGAAGAAGAAGAAGAAGAAGAAGAAGAAGAAGGAGAAGGAGAAGGAGAAGGAGGAGAAGAAGTAGAAGAAGAAGAAGAGTAGGAAGAAGAAAAAGAAGACGAGAAGAAGGAGGAGGAGAAGAAGAAGTGGATGAGCAGGAATAAGAATAAGAATTGGAGGAGGAGGAATGATAATGATAATAATAATAATGATAATAATAATAACAATAATAATAATAATGATGATGATAAAAATAATAATAAATGGAAAAGAAATAAGGAAACAAAAAGGGAGAAAAGAAAAAGAGACAAGAATTTTATAACTGATACCAAACCTGAAACTGACGAGAAAAAATTAAGAGAAAATGATCATGCCATAGAATTGCAATTTTGTTGCAAAATTCCCGGCGGAAAGATGTTGGAAAATGATTGCAACGATTGTCGCTCTTTGGGGTGAAATTAGGACAGTTTTAAAGCTCAAGTCAACCTTATGATCTTCATTACGTCTCTTATTCACGGTGACATGATCTTTCAGAAAGAGAGAGAGAGAAAGAGAGAGAGAGAGAGAGAGAGAGAGAGAGACAGAGAGAGAGAGAGAGAGAGAGAGAGAGAGACAGAGAGAGAGAGAGAGAGAAAGAAAGAAAGGGGAGAGAGAGAGAGAGAGAGAGAGAGAGACAGAGAGAGAGAGAGAGAGAAAGAAAGAAAGGGGAGAGAGAGAGAGAGAGAGAGAGAGAGACAGAGAGAGAGAGAGAGAGAAAGAAAGAAAGGGGAGAGAGAGAGAGAGAGAGAGAGAGAGACAGAGAGAGATAGAGAGATAGGGAGATAGTTTGAGAGCTAGATAGATAGATAGAGAGATAGATAGAGAGAGAAAGAGAGAGAGAGAGAGAGAGAGAAACATGAGTCACTGATATGTGAATAACGTGACTGGCATATTAGCTTATTCTGTAGTTATTTTCGGGTTTCTTGATGTAGATAACGTAGCAATCAAAAAGAATATTTGAAGACTGATAACAGGGTATATCGCCTTATCTCGATGCTTATCGTGGAAGAAGAAGAAGAAGAAGAAGAAAAAGAGATAATCAAGAATTGAAACCATCGCGTTAGATATTCTATTGATATTTGATCGAAGTTTGATATCCAGAAGCCAAAAAAGAAGAAAAAAAAAGAAGGAAAGAAGAAAGAAAATCCAGAAGAGGAAAAAGAGGAAAAATAAGAAGAAAAAAGGAAGAAATAAAAACAAAAGAAAACATTGGAATAAGAAGTTTGATATCCAGAAGCCAAAAAAAAAGAAAAAAAAAGAAGGAAAGAAGAAAGAAAATACAGAAGAAGAAAAAAGAAGAAAAAAGGAAGAAATAAAAACAAAAGAAAACATTGGAATAAGAAGTTTGATATCCAGAAGCCAAAAAAAAAGAAAAAAAAAGAAGGAAAGAAGAAAGAAAATACAGAAGAAGAAAAAAGAAGAAAAAAGGAAGAAATAAAAACAAAAAGAAAACAACGGAATAAGAAGATAAAACAAGAAAGGCAAAACGAGATAAGATCAATAACTGAAATCTAAATTGAGAGGAGGTCGAGGGGCGGGGAGGGGGGGGGGGGATAGAAGTTCAGTGTTCAGTGTTCATCGCTTTAATGAGAAATTCCCCGGTCGCATTGTGTTCATTAAATCAGGATTTTGGTTGAAATGTGAACACTGGAATGGGAATTGCAACATTGAATTTGCAATTAGACATTAAGCCTTACTTGCAATCTGGCCTTTTATTACTGTGCGTTTCTTTAGTAGCGAGAGAGAGAGGGATAAAGAGAGAGACAAAGAGAGAGAGAGAGAGAGAGAGAGNATATCGTTTTGATTTTTACATCTTGTCTCGTCTATCCTTTTTTTTCTCTTTCGTTTTCATTTTTATTCTCTTCACATCTCGCCTCGTCTTATCTTCTCTTTCGTTTTCACTCTTATTCTCTTTACATCTCGCCTCGTCTTTTTTTCTTTCGCTTTCACTCTTGTTCTCCTTACATCTTACCTTGTCTTATTTTTTCGTTCGTTTTCACTCTTATTCTCTTTACATCTCGCCTCGTCTTATTTTTATCTTTCGCTTTCACTCTAATTCTCTTCTCATCTCGCCTCGTCTTATCTTTTTTTTCGCTTTCACTCTTATTCTCTTCTCATCTCGCCTCGTCTCTTTTTTATTTTCGTTTTCACTCTTATTCTCTTCTCATCGTCTCTTTTTATTTCGTTTTCACTCTTATTCTCTTCTCGTCTCGCCTCGTCTATCCATCTTTCTCTCTCTATCCTTCCCCTCAGAATTTGGGACAGGCAGCCAGCACCATCGATTACCATAAAGATCGCTGGAGGATTTTACCTTTGGCAGGGAAAATGGAGGCGGAAGGAGAGAGGGAGAATAGGGAAATCGGGGGAGAGAGAGGAGAGAAAAAAAGAGAGAGAGAAAACAGAGAACGAGAGAGGGGAAGTAGGGAAACTGGGAGAAGAGAGAGAGAGGAGAGAAAGAAAAAGAGAATAGAGAGAAAACAGTGAGGGAGAGAGGGAAAATACGGAAGACTGGGGATAGAGAGGAGGGAAAAAAACAGGAGAGAGAGAGAAAACAGAGAAGGAGAGAGGGAAGACAAGGGAAACTGGGATAGAGAGGAGAGAATAAAAAGAGGAGAGAAAGAAAACAGAGAAGGAGAGAGGGAAAATAGGGAAGAGGAGAAAGAGAAGAAAAACAAGGGAGAGGGAGAACAGAGCAGGAACAAAATGAAGAGAAGAGAATAGAAGAAAAGATAAGAAGAGAAAGAAAAAGAAAGCGAAAAAGAAAGAAAAAGAAAAAGATAGAAAAAGAAAGAAGGAGAAAAAGAGAGAAAACAGAAAGAAGGATTAAAAAGAGAGAAAAGGAAAGGGGAAAAAGATAGAAAAAGAAAGAAAGAGAACAAGAGAGAAAAAGAAAAAAATTAGAAACTCAGTCCTATCGATAAAGGAGGTAAAGAAAACGGAGAAGAAAAAAGTAACGCAAGGGATAAAGAGAGGAAGAGAGCGAAGCAAGAATAACGGGAAGTGAAGAGAGGTGAAAAAATGAAAGAGAGAAAATGAGAGAAACAGAAAAAGGGAAAGGAAAAAGAGAAAAAGAAGAACAGAAAGAAAAGAGAAAATAGGGAAAAAAGAGAATAGATAACAAGAAAGAAAGAGAAAAAATGGATAAAGAGAGGAAGAGAACGAAGCAAGAATGACGTTAAGTGAAGAGAGGTGGAAAAAGTCTCGAGGAAATCTTAATTTCTTCTTCCTCTTCTCAAAAGGAGAATCTGGTGATGACTTCACTTCTCAGAAAGAAAAAAAGAAGAAACATTTTTTAAAATCTTAAAGAATCATCATTAGAAATTGCCATTTTCACTTTCCTTTTTTCATTTTATATATTCTATTATTATTTATTATTATTATTATTATTATCATTATTATTATTTTGAGAGAGAGAGAGAGAGAGAGAGAGAGAGAGAGAGAGAGAGAGAGAGAGAGATGAGAGAGAGAGAGAGAGAGAGAGAGAGAAGAGAGAGAGAGAGAGAGAGAGAGAAAGACAAGAAAAGAAAAAAAAAAAGACATAGAAAAAGCGACACATACAGTTAGACAATAGAATAGATAAATAGAGATAGAAGAAGAAAAGGAGAAATAAAAAAGAGTGAAAAAGGAAAATTGAAAATGACTACTTCCAAAGTGGTCGCTGGAAAAAAAAAAAAAAAAAACTTGACATTGACAAAGTATTTTTCCGCCACCTCGACATGTCTTTAAAACCGCTAATTTCAGAGCTGTCTGAAGAGAATGGAATTTTGCTTTCGACTTTTTACTTATTTATCTATTTATTTTTTACTTATTATTGTCTTGTGTTTTTTTTTTTATTTCATTATTATTTTTTCTTTATATATATATTTATATATATATATATATATATATATATATATAATATATAATATATATATATATATATAAATTATATTATGTATATATATATGTGTGTGTGTGTGTGTGTGTATTACATTCTTCTTCTTCTTTTTTCTTCTTTTTTCGGGAGTTTACACTGAAAAGAATCAAATAAAGTTTTCATTTTCTTCGCTCATTTCATCTCTCTCTCTTCTTCTCTCTCTCTCTCTCTCGTTTATTTGTTCCTTTCCTTCTCTCTCCTCCCATTCTTCTCCATAAGTCCCTCCCCCTTCCCTCCCTTTTCCCTCCCTCCGTCCTTCTCCTTCCTTTCCCTCTTTCCCTCCTTCCCTCCATCCCCTCCTTTCTCCCCTGCCTCCATCCTTCCTTCTCTCTTTCCCTCCCTCCTCCCTCTTTCCCACGTTCCCTCCTTCCTTCTTTCCTCTCTCTCCCTCCTTCCTTCCTTCACACTTCCCACCATCCCTTCCATATTTCATTCCTTCCTTCCCTCCCTCCCTTCTTTCCTTCCCTCCATCCCCTCCAATAGATCCACCACCTTCCACATATCCCTCCTCTCTTCCCTCCCTCCCTCTCCCTCCCTCCCTCTTTCCTCTCCATCACCCCCCCCCCCCCGCCCCCCCCCCCCCAAGGAATATACAAACACAGGCATAAATTCCATCAATTCTTCTCCACTTGATTCAGTTGTTTCTAGATGGCGCTCTATCAACAGGTGCCAGAGATTAATGCCTTTCCCGTGGCACTGAATGTGTGTTTTTTTTGGGGGGTGGGGGGGTGGGCACCTAATTGCTTTTTGAGATGCAGGGATCTTTTTTTCTCTCTTCTCTTATTTTCTTTCCATTTCTCTCTTTCTTTCTTCTCTTTCTTTCTTTCTGTCTCTGTCGCTTTCTCTCTCTCTCTCTCTCTCTCTCTCTCTCTCTCTCTCCTCTCTCTCTCTCTCCTCTCTCTCTCTCTCTCTCTCTCTCTCTTCTCTCTCTCCCTCCCATCTCTCTCTCTCTCTCACTTTCTCTTCCTCTTTGTCTTTTCTCTGTCTGATGATAGACAGATAGATAGATATAGATAGATAGATGATAGACAGATAGAGAGAAGTCGATAAATAAACAAATATAGAGAGACAGATAGGAAGGAGTTTACTTGCGGGGGAGGGGGAGGGGGGAGGCAAGGTGGCCGGCAAAAAAAACTGAACCGGAAGTGTGACAAAGATGTATGTGTGTGTGTGCGTGTCGACGGGGGGCAGAGTGGAACAGCTGGCGGTGAGTGTACATGTGGAGTGAGGAGTGAAGTTCAGAGTAAGAAAATATGATTCAAAAGAGGTAATATGTATATATATATATATATATATATATATATATATATATATATATATATATATATATATATTATATATAATATATATATATATGGTATGTGTGTGGTGTGTGTGTGTGTGTGTGGTTGTGTGTGTGTGTGTGTGTGTGTGTGTGTGTGTGTGTGTGTGTGTGTGTGTGTGTGTGGTGTGCATGTATTATATATATATGTATACGTGAAGGAAAAGTCGAAAAAGAGAGAGAGAAAAAAAAAAAAAAAAAAAATAAATAAATGGATAAAGAAGAGGAGATATAAAAAACGAAAAGGAAACGGGGAAAAAAAGCCCGTTTCGTCCGAGAAATGATGAATGGAAGCTAATAAAGACAAAAAAAAAAACATCAGGTAGCAGAGAGCCAGGGCTTGTTCCACCTTCCCTCCGTCATAGGCAGTCCCTCAAAGCCAGTCTGTATAAAAGGAATCCATTGTATCTCTGTGTGTGTGTGTCTTTTTCTTTGTCTTTCTGTATGTCTGTCTCTCTCTGTCTGTCTTCTCTCTCTTTCACTTTCTCTCTCCTCTCTTTCTCTCTCTTCTCTCTCTCTCTCTCTCTCTCTTCCCTCTCTCTTCTCTCTCTCTCTCTCTCTCTCTCTCTCTCTCTCTCTCTCTCTCTCTCTCTCTCTCTCTCTCTCTCTCTCTCTCTCCTCTCTCCTCTCTCTCTCTCTCTCTCTCTCTCTCTCTCTCTCTCTTCTCTCTCTCTCTCTCTCTCTCTCTCTCTCTCTCTCTCTCTCTCTCCCTCTCTCCCTCCCTCCCTCCCTCCCTCTCTCTCTCTCTGCTCTCTCTCTCTCCTCTCTCTCTCTCTCTCTCTCTCTCTCTCTCTCTCTTCATTCTCTCTCTCCTCTCTCTCTCTCTATTCTTTCTCTCTCTCTCTCCCTCCCTCCCTCCCTCATTCTCCTCTCTTCCTCTTCCATCTCTCTCCCTATGCTCGGCCTCTCTATTCTCCTCTCGCTTCTCATCTACTCGTGTTCTCGCAGCGGCACTCTGCCGCTCGTTCCTCTCTCTCTCCTCCATCTTTCTCTCTTGTGCTCTACATCTCAGTCAGTACACTGTTCTGCTCTCTCTCTCTCTCTCTCATCTCTTCGTGGTCTCTCTCTCTCTCTCTGCTCTCTTTCTGCTCTCTCTTCTGTCTCCATCTCTCTATCGTCTTGCTCTGTCGCTCTCTCTGTCTGCTTGTGCTGTGCCACATACTCTCTAGCATCATCCTACGCTACACCATACTCTCATCCTCCTTCTTCACTCATCTTACAATCGTCATCTCATCTCTCGATCTCTTCGTCTCGTCTCTATCTCTCGCTACTCTCTCACCCTACCATCTCCTCTCACCCTCTTCGTACTACTAAGCTCGCTCCTAGTCTCACATGAGACAACGTCTTCTGCCAATACGAACCTAGCCCGCTCCTCCGATCC